CCACGCACTGTCCAGTACAGCACAAGCAAACAGACTAAAGAACAGCTGTATTGATCGCCCTAGTTTTCTGTTTTTGCCTGCAGCTCCCAAGGGCTGACAGATGACAGATGATGGATGACAGATGACAGATGGGGGTCACATGGCCACATCCTGCTTGAAGGGAGCCCTCCTTTGGCCTCCAGCCCCCAGAGCTAGTGAGGATGAGGGTACAGTCAGGACAGGGAAGGAGCAAGAAAAGGCCCAGATTTTCAAGTTGGTCTTAGGGTAGGTGTTACAGCAGAAAGCCTTGCTGTCTAAAAACCATGTCTGACAATCCCACCTGATGGCACAGTGGTCCAGGACACCAATTTGGGACTTGGGCACGCTGGGTTCAAGTCTGTGACCCCTACTTACTGCTGTGTGACTAAGGGATCACTGTGCCTCTCTGAGCCCTTTTCTCTGTGGCTGTGAGGGGGGAAGCAAGTCACATCTATGGAGCCCCTAGCCCCAGGCTGGGCAGCTGGCAAGGGCTGGGTGGATGGAAGCCCCGAAGACTGTGCAAGTCTCATGGGCAAAGCCATTGTGCCCACAAAGTGCCTTTGTACCCGCAGAAAAGGTACCCGCGAACTTCCTTAAAGAGTTAACCGTAGACTTGCCATGTGGTCCAGAAATCCCCTTCCTAGGAATTGAAAACAAGGATTCAAACAAGTACATGTGCACACATGTTCAGAGCAGCATTATTCACACTACCAAATGTCCACCAATAGATGAATGGGTAAACACAATGTGGTAAATCCAGGGGTGCCTGGGTGGCTCAGGTGGTTAAGCATCTGATTCTTGGTTTCATCTCAGGTCATGATCTCACAGTTCATGAGTTCGAGCCCTGCATTGGGCTCTGTGCTGACAATGCAGAGCATGCTTGGGATTCTCTCTCTCTCCCTCTCTCTCTGCCCCTCCTGCACGCACTCTCTCTCTCAAAATAAAATAAAAATAAACTTACAAAAAAAAAGAATGTTGTATATCCATGCAATGGAATATTTACAGCCTTAAAAAGGAGTGAAGCGGGGCGCCTGGGTGGCGCAGTCGGTTAAGCGTCCGACTTCAACCAGGTCACGATCTCA